ACTCTGGTCCCAGTCTCAGTCCCGGTCTTGTTCCAATCTGGTCCCGTCCATATGCAGCGCAAAAGTCCGGCATCGCAGTCACAGAAGTCACCTAAACGGGAAACGGGTTTTTTCCATTTTTCATTTAAACACAAAATCGAAAACTGAAAAAACAAATTATCCTTTTTCTCATTTTGGTTTTGGAGACAAACAATGAAGAAAACTGTTGTTTTTTCATTTTCTTATTTTTGGTTTTATATTGAAAAACTAATGAATGACACACGGATTGTCCTCCTATATTCACCTCACCCCAGTAAATCTATAGAGATTCAGGCAATGAGAAAAGTGTTTTGCCCAAGGGTAGAAAGAGTAAAGAGTTTGAATACATGTGACGTTAATCCGCTGTCTCCATGGATCCGATCTGAACTTGTGTCTGAATATTTGAGGTTTCTGAGGTAGTTTTTTATTTGAGACTCATGAGACTCGGAGTGACGCGAGGACAGAGTCTTGAGTCGAGTCCTTGAGGCTCTGGAGCTGATGAGATGAGAGAGGACAGGCTCCACACAGCGCCCCCTACCACAGCCTCCAGGTACACCACCATTATTCAGCACTGAAATACCCGTGTCTACAGTAGCTCAGAGAGACGAGGAGTCGAACCCACACCCTCCCGACTGACCGAGCGGAGGAGGAGGAGACGGGAAAACTCTGGAGGAGGATTAGCGGCGTGATGTGTGAAAAGAGCAGGGCTGTCTGTAGGCGCCGCATGGACTTTAGACAAAGGACAAAACGTGACATTTCAAGTTTATGTTTCTAATCAGAGCAACGATCTCACGTCGAACTGTTCTGATCCACAACGAAGCGTCACGGAACATTTCCTCTCAGCAAAGTTCTCTGTAAACTCCCCCAAGTTCAAGCTGAATCATGTAGACAACAAATTCTGTCAGATATTTTAGTTTAGTTTTGGCAATTTTCTGATCTATGTTATAATTTCCTTTCTTTTCCAGAAAGGAAAAGACCTGGAGACCGGCCATGAGACCACTTTTTTACAGTCTTGGACTCGACCACATTTGTCTCAGTCTTGAAGGAGCTTGGTCTTGGTCTTGTCTCGGTCTTGAAGGAGCTTGGTCTTGGATTTGTCTCGGTCTTGAAGGAGCTTGGTCTTGGATTTGTCTCTGTCTTGAAGGAGCTTGGTCTTGGTCTTGTCTCGGTCTTGAAGGAGATTGGTCTTGGTTTTGTCTCGGTCTTGAAGGAGATTGGTCTTGGTCTTGTCTCGGTCTTGAAGGAGCTTGGTCTTGGTCTTGTCTCGGTCTTGAAGGAGCTTGGTCTTGGTTTTGTCTCAGTCTTGAAGGAGATTGGTCTTGGTTTTGTCTCGGTCTTGTTTCGGTCTTGAAGGAGATTGGTCTTGGTTTTGTCTCGGTCTTGAAGGAGCTTGGTCTTGGTCTTGTCTCGGTCTTGAAGGAGCTTGGTCTTGGATTTGTCTCGGTCTTGAAGGAGATTGGTCTCGGTCTTGTCTCGGTCTTGTTTCGGTCTTGAAGGAGATTGGTCTTGGTCTTGTCTCGGTCTTGAAGGAGATTGGTCTTGGTCTTGTCTCGGTCTTGAAGGAGCTTGGTCTTGGATTTGTCTCGGTCTTGAAGGAGATTGGTCTTGGTCTTGTCTCGGTCTTGAAGGAGATTGGTCTTGGTCTTGTCTCGGTCTTGAAGGAGATTGGTCTTGGTCTTGTCTCGGTCTTGAAGGAGCTTGGTCTTGGTCTTGTCTCGGTCTTGAAGGAGCTTGGTCTTGGTCTTGTCTCGGTCTTGAAGGAGCTTGGTCTTGGTCTTGGTCTTGTCTCGGTCTTGAAGGAGATTGGTCTTGGTCTTGTCTCGGTCTTGAAGGAGCTTGGTCTCGGTCTTGTCTCGGTCTTGAAGGAGCTTGGTCTTGGTCTTGTCTCGGTCTTGAAGGAGATTGGTCTTGGTCTTTGTCTCGGTCTTGAAGGAGATTGGTCTTGTCTCGGTCTTGAAGGAGCTTGGTCTTGTCTGTCTCGGTCTTGAAGGAGCTTGGTCTTGGTCTTGTCTCGGTCTTGAAGGAGCTTGGTCTTGGTCTTGTCTCGGTCTTGAAGGAGATTGGTCTTTGTCTTGTCTCGGTCTTGAAGGAGCTTGGTCTCGGTCTTGTCTCGGTCTTGAAGGAGCTTGGTCTTGGTTTTGTCTCGGTCTTGAAGGAGCTTGGTCTTGGTCTTGTCTCGGTCTTGAAGGAGATTGGTCTTGGTCTTGTCTCGGTCTTGAAGGAGCTTGGTCTTGGTCTTGTCTCGGTCTTGAAGGAGCTTGGTCTTGGTCTTGTCTCGGTCTTGAAGGAGCTTGGTCTTGGTCTTGTCTCGGTCTTGAAGGAGCTTGGTCTTGGTCTTGTCTCGGTCTTGAAGGAGCTTGGTCTTGGATTTGTCTCGGTCTTGAAGGAGATTGGTCTTGGTTTTGTCTCGGTCTTGAAGGAGCTTGGTCTTGTCTCGGTCTTGAAGGAGATTGGTCTTGGTTTTGTCTCGGTCTTGTTTCGGTCTTGAAGGAGCTTGGTCTTGGTCTTGTCTCGGTCTTGAAGGAGCTTGGTCTTGGTCTTGTCTCGGTCTTGAAGGAGCTTGGTCTTGGTTTTCTTGGTCTTGATTGGTCTTGTCTTGAGGAGTTGTCTTGGATTTGTCTCGGTCTTGAAGGAGATTGGTCTTGGTTTTGTCTCGGTCTTGAAGGAGATTGGTCTTGGTTTTGTCTCGGTCTTGAAGGTGCCTGGTCTCGGTCTTGTCTCGGTCTTGAAGGAGATTGGTCTTGGTTTTGTCTCGGTCTTGAAGGAGCTTGGTCTTGGTCTTGTCTCGGTCTTGAAGGTGCCTGGTCTCGGTCTTGTCTCAGACTCGAGGTCTGACACTCAGTGAGAGTGAGGGTCCAAAAAAGGGGCACTGAGAGTTTCAGTGCAGCACAGTTTGTTTGGAACATTTAATGAAACATTAATCAGATCAAATGGGAATCGATTCATAAAAACATAGATATAAATGTGCCAAAATACCTGTAAAATACAAATAAATGTAGAAAATAACAAAGATTGATTTGGTCTCGAAAGGCTGTGGTCTCAGTTTTGTCTCAGTCTCGACTTTTAAAAGTCTCTGTCTTGTCTTGGTCTTATCCTGGTCTTGGTCTAGTCTCGCTCTTGACTACAACTACAACACTAGTGGAAACTTCCCCACATATCTTATATATCTTACATTTGTTCATTTACAGTTGCTAAAATACTGTTAAAAATGTTCAGTGTTACTGTGAGTTGGATCTGACTGGAGACTCGTTTTGATCACTTCTCCTGCTTGGAGATTCAGTGACAGACGAGCAGTGGACCTGAATATCTCTGAAAAGTTAAATAATGCAGATTTGTGAACAGGTTTATGTTGAATATTTCTGTTTAGTGTGTGTTTGTGTGTATTATATGTGTGTTTGTTATATGTGTGTGTTATATGTGTGTGTTATATGTGTGTTTGTGTGTGTTTGTGTGTGTTTGTGTGTGTTATATGTGTGTTTGTTATATGTGTGTTTGTTATATGTGTGTTTGTTATATGTGTGTTTGTGTGTGTTTGTGTGTGTGTTTGTGTGTGTTATATGTGTGTTTGTGTGTGTTTGTGTGTGTTTATGTGTGTGTTATATGTGTGTGTTATATGTGTGTGTCATATGTGTGTGTTGTTATATGTGTGTTTGTTATATGTGTGTTTTAGGTGTGTGTTTGTGTGTGTTTGTGTGTGTATATGTGTGTTTGTATGTGTTTGTGTGTGTTATATGTGTGTGTCATATGTGTGTTTGTTATATGTGTGTTTGTTATATGTGTGTTTGTGTGTGTGTGTGTGTGTGTTGTGTGTGTTTATGTGTGTTTGTGTGTGTTTGTGTGTGTTTGTGTGTGTTATATGTGTGTGTCATATGTGTGTGTCATATGTGTGTTTGTGTATTGTGTGTTTGTTATGTGTGTGTTTGTGTGTGTTTGTGTGTGTTATGTGTTATATGTGTGTTTGTTATGTGTTTGTGTGTGTTATATGTGTGTTTGTTATGTGTTTGTTATGTGTGTGTTTGTGTGTGTTTGTGTGTGTTTGTGTGTGTTTGTGTGTGTGTTGTTTGTGTGTGTGTGTGTTTGTGTGTGTTATATGTGTGTGTTTGTGTATGTGTGTTTGTATATGTGTGTTTGTTATATGTGTGTTGTGTGTGTGTGTATGTGTGTTTGTTATGTGTTTGTTATGTGTGTTTTGTGTGTGTTTGTGTGTGTTTGTGTGTGTGTGTGTTTTGTGTGTGTTATATGTGTGTTTGGTGTGTGTGTGTGTTTGTGTGTGTGTGTGTGTGTGTGTTATATGTGTGTTTGTGTGTGTTTGTGTGTGTTATATGTGTGTGTCATATGTGTGTTTGTTATATGTGTGTTTGTTATGTGTGTGTTTGTGTGTGTGTGTGTTATATGTGTGTTTGTGTGTGTTATGTGTGTATGTGTGTGTTTATGTGTGTTTGTGTGTGTGTGTGTGTTTGTGTGTTATATGTGTGTGTTATATGTGTGTGTTATTGTGTGTTATGTTGTTTGTTATATGTGTGTTTGTGTGTGTTTGTGTGTGTTGTGTGTTTATGTGTGTGTTATATGTGTGTCATATGTGTGTTGTTATGTGTGTGTTTGTGTGTGTGTGTTGTATATGTGTGTTTTATATGTGTGTTTGTGTGTTATATGTGTGTGTTATATGTGTGTTTGTTATATGTGTGTTTGTATATGTGTGTTATATGTGTGTTTGTGTGTGTTTGTGTGTGTTATATGTGTGTGTCATATGTGTGTTTATGTGTGTGTCATATGTGTGTTTGTTATATGTGTGTGTTATATGTGTGTTTGTGTGTGTTTGTGTGTGTTATATATGTGTGTTTTATATGTGTGTGTGTCGTGTGTTTGTGCAGTGACCTGGAGCAGTTGGTGGGATCTCTGCAGACGTCCGTGCGCTCGGGTCCTGGAGCCGTGAGTCTCTCTGACGTGGAACATGCAGCGGTGAACCTGCGACGAGTCGGACAGGACATGGCTCTGCTCAAAGGTACAACACCAGGATACAGAAAGAGGGAGAGAGACTGAGAGAGTCAGAGACAGAGGGAGAAACAAAGAGCAAAGAGAGCAGAAAGAGAAGGAAAGGGAGAGAGACAAAGAGAGAGGGGGGCAGAGAGAGAAAGAGTGAGTTGCTGTTGTAGCCACAGTTGCCCTGGGGCAGACTGTCTAAAGCGAGGCTGCCGATCTGCACCATCGGCCCCTCCAGCCGCCACTTGCTCTTTCACCACATTCACACTAGACAATGTGGGTGAAGTGTCTTGCCTAAGGACACAAGGATTTGTGTTTTGTCGAGAAACACTGAGCCCGGGGAAGAACCAGGACACACAGGAGGGACTGAGTCTCTGGACTGACCCGGGAACACCTCAGGACGGACGGATGAATGGATGGAAAAACGGACGGATGGATGGACGGATGGACGGTTAGATGGATGGATGGATAGATGAAAATATAGATGATGGACGGATCAGATGGATGGACAGATGGATGGACGGACAGAAGGATGGACGGACAGAAGGATGGACGTACAGAAGGATGGATGGACAGAAGGATGGATGGAGACAGTTGGACGGTCAGATGGATGGACAGATGGATGGACGTACAGACGGATGGATGGACAGACAGTTGGACGGTCAGATGGATGGACAGAAGGATGGATGGACAGAAGGATGGATGGACAGATGGATGGACGTACAGACGGATGGATGGACGTACAGACGGATGGATGGACGTACAGACGGATGGATGGACGTACAGACGGATGGATGGACAGATGGATGGATGGACAGACAGTTGGACGGTCAGATGGATGGACAGATAGATGGATAGATAGATGGATGGATAGATGGATGGATAGATGAAAATATAGATGTATGGGCGGTCAGACGGATGGACAGATGCTCTAAACGTGTGTTGTATTCTGTTGTGTTGTGTTGTTCAGGAGAGTTCCCGCAGCTGCAGAGTCGTATGTGCTCGGTGCTGCGTCTGGAGGTGGAGGTCGTGCGCTTCCTCAAAGAAGAACCTCTCAAGATGGACTCCATGTTGTCCCGAATCAGGAACCTGACGGAAGAACTCAGCTCCCTGCACCGGTAAAACACACACACACACACAGAAACACACACACACACACACACACAGAAACACACACACACACACACACACACACACACACACCTGCGTACAGCAAAAAAGAGAGACCTAATCCGTGTTTTATTTTGTGTCTTCTTCTTCTTCTCAGGAGTGTGTCGGAGTCGTTCGTTCAGGCCAAAGACGAGCAGGGTTCCCCCAGACCCCTGCCCCGCTCCTCCTTCAGAACCCCACAAACCAGCTCCGACTCTGGGGAAACTCAGACGGGACCAGCCTCTCCTGTGACCCGGAGATCCACAACCTCCACACCACAAAACACCAACACAACTACAGAGGTGACACAGGTTTAGACCTGGTTTAGACCTGGTTTAGACCTGGTTTAGACCTGGTTTAGGGTTTAGTCCTGGTTTAGACCTGGTTTAGTTCCTGGTTTAGACCTGGTTTAGTCCTGGTTTAGTCCTGGTTTAGTCCTGGTTTAGTCCTGGTTTAGACCTGGTTTAGTCCCTGGTTTAGACCTGGTTTAGACCTGGTTTTAGTCCTGGTTTAGTCCTGGTTTAGTCCTGGTTCAGTCCTGGTTCAGTCCTGGTTTAGTCCTGGTTTAGTCCTGGTTCAGTCCTGGTCCAGTCCTGGTTTAGTCCTGGTTTAGTCCTGGTTCAGTCCTGGTTCAGTCCTGGTTTAGTCCTGGTTTAGTCCTGGTTTAGTCCTGGTTTAGTCCTGGTTTAGTCCTGGTTTAGTCCTGGTTTAGTCCTGGTTCAGTCCTGGTTCAGTCCTGGATTAGTCCTGGTTCAGTCCTGGTTCAGTCCGGTTAGTCCTGGTTTAGTCCTGGTTAGTCCTGGTTTTAGTCCTGGTTCAGTCCTGGTTCAGTCCTGGTTTAGTCCTGGTTTAGTCCTGGTTAGTCCTGGTTCAGTCCTGGTTTTAGTCCTGGTTCAGTCCTGGTTCAGTCCTGGTTTAGTCCTGGTTTAGTCCCTGGTTCAGTCCTGGTTAGTCCTGGTTTAGTCCTGGTTTAGTCCTGGTTTAGTCCTGGTTCAGTCCTGGATTAGTCCTGGTTCAGTCCTGGTTTAGTCCTGGTTTAGTCCTGGTTTAGACCTGGTTCAGTCCTGGTTTAGTCCTGGTTTAGTCCTGGTTTAGTCCTGGTTTAGTCCTGGTTTAGTCCTGGTTCAGTCCTGGTTTAGTCCTGGTTTCCTGGTAGTCCTGGTTTAGTCCTGGTTCAGTCCTGGTTCAGTCCTGGTTGTCCTGGTTAGTCCTGGTTTAGTCCTGGTTAGTCCTGGTTCAGTCCTGGTTTAGTCCTGGTTCAGTCCTGGTTTAGTCCTGGTTTAGTCCTGGTTTAGTCCTGGTTTAGTCCTGGTTAGTCCTGGTTCAGTCCTGGTTTAGTCCTGGTTTAGTCCTGGTTCAGTCCTGGATTAGTCCTGGTTTAGTCCTGGTTTAGTCCTGGTTCAGTCCTGGTTTAGTCCTGGTTTAGTCCTGGTTTAGTCCTGGTTTAGTCCTGGTTTAGTCCTGGTTTAGTCCTGGTTTAGTTTTTGTTTTAATTCTGGTTTTATTTTTCATCTTTTATGTAAAAAAGTCATGATGTAAAAACACAAACACCTCCTAAAGGCTTTCAGTCTCATTTGCATCTTACTTTAATATTTATATTTTTATTCATAAAGTCTGAAATGGAAAATTAGACGTTAGCTCCTCTCAAACTTTTTTTTTTTTTTTTTACTGCAAAATTGTCTCTTATGAGTTTTAAATTGTGTTATGATGTTGTTTCTCCTCAAAAACAGATCTGGATTTGTGTTTCGCTTCATTCACACATGTTTATTTAACCCTTTATTTTCTTTTAGTTTAGTCTCTCTACATCTCCAAACCTCAAAACGCTCTGTTCCACCTTGTGATGTCATCATGAAGTGTGATTTTTCGAGTTAACAGCTTCTTTTTTTTTTTTTTTTACCTTTAGTTCAGTCGAGATTGGAAATTTTTCAAGGACTGAAATGGTCCAAATGTTTCTAGTGAAGGTGTGTGGAGTTTAAAAACACAGTGGAGCTCTTCCTGTATCACCACATGATGACATCACAAGGTGGAACGGAGTGTTTTCAGTTTGTGTGAATTAAACAAAACGGGAAACACAGATCAAAAAATGATGTAAAATTGTGTTAATTTGAGTTCGTTTATGATCATAGGAAACAACAAGGATACTGGTTTAGTCCTGGTTCAGTCCTGGTTTAATCCTGGTTTAGTCCTGGATTAGACCCGGTTTAGTCCCGGTTTAGTCCCGGTTTAATCCTGGTTTAGTCCTGGTTCAGTCCTGGTTTAGTCCTATTTTAGTCCTGGTACAATCCTGGTTTAATCCTGGTTTAGACCTGGTTCAGTCCTGTTTTAGTCCTGGTTTTGGTCCTCGTTTTAGTCCTGCTTTAGTGCTGTTTTAGACCTGGTTTAGTCCTGGTTTAGTCCTGGTTTAGTCCTGGTTTAGTCCTGGTTTTAGACTGGATTAGTCCTGGTTTAGTCCTGGTCTAGTCCTGGTTTAGTCCCATTTTAGTCCTGGTTTAGTGCTGTTTTAGACCTGGTTTGGTCCTGGTTCAGTTCTGGTTTAGTCCTGGTTTAGACCTGTTTTAGTCCTGGTTTAGTCCTGGTTTAGTCCTGGTTTAGTCCTGGTTTAGTCCTGGTTCAGTTCTGTGTTTTCAGTTTGCGTGAATTAAAGGTTGTATGGAGGATTTTTGTTTTTGTTTTTTTTGGTTTTCAAGTTGTCAATGATGCATTATAGAGGGTGCAGTAGCCTTGTAATTATGATGACCAAAAAAAAGAGAATAAAAATTCATCAACTCTGGACGTGGTGGGGCTAAACATTTGCCAATAGATAACGACACTGCCTCGTTATCTGTGAGCTGACAGTGTCAATCAATCTCCCTACGTTTCTAGCGTAACTGACTTGCCTGCGCCGCCGGTACGTGGTTTACGTACGACTGTCACGCAGTCCACAGACGCAAGACGCACAGACGCTGTTTACTCCACCAACGCAACAGTTTCTTAGCGGCTTTTTTTTACCTTTTTTTTACTATAAACATCCTCCTTTTTCAGGACACGAGCGAAAGCGATATCCTATGTCTGAAAACGTAATTTTCAAGGCAAAGAAAGAGTCCGCTTGCTGCTTGCGTGTTGTAGCTAGTTCATTCGCACTGAATCTCCGCGCACTCTTCTCTGCACCCCTTTCCTGCTCCTGTCCCCGCTGCCCGTTCCGCTCTTTCCCCCTGCTTCCTCACTTCTCCGGGCACGGAATCTCCGCGCACCGCTCCCCTCTCCTCTTCTCCTCTCTCCTGCTCCGCTCTTTCTCCCTGCTCCTCACTTCTCGTCCGCGAACGAAATGTCCGCACACCCGCTCCCCCTGCTCCTCACTTCTCCACCTTGCCTAACCAACACTGTAGTTAGTTGTTTACAAGTCATGTGCAGCTCACCGGCTGTAAACAAAACCTGTTTCTGGCGTAAAGAGGAGGCGGGAGAAGGCGTTCTACGTAGGAGCTGTAGGGAGGGGGGGTGGTTTACGCATGCGCAAATTTGAAAAAGGACAAACAGTCGCTGGATTTCTCGTTCCTTGGAAAATCTATACAACCTTTACAACAAAAGGAAACAGAATCAGAAAATGTCATAAAATTTTTGTTCGTTTTTGATCATAGGAAACGACAAGGATTCCTCCAGACGGCAGCATGAGCCCGGACTCAAACCAGACCAAACCAGACCAAACCAGGACCAACCAGGACCGGCCCGAGTCCTCACAGTCCCAGCTGAACCAGTCTCTCCAGGATCCCCTCACCTCCAGAGAAAGTCCGACCCAGGACCCAGAGACTTCGCCAGGTTAGACTCTTTGACGGTTCTGTGTTAAAGCTGGATTATGTAGCTTTTCTGAGAGTCCGTCACCTGCTTGTTTCCATGGAGACGTCATTGCTCTGCTGAGAAAGTTCCACAGTGTGACATTAAACAGCTTTATTTGACGTTTATTCAATTACGAAGAAAAAGGATCAATGCAGAACTCCATGCCCCTGGTTTAGTCCTGGTTTAGTTCTGGTTCAGTCCTGATTTAATCCTGGTTTAGACCTAGTTTAGTTCTGGTTTAGTCCTGGTTTAGTCCTAGTTTAGTTCTGGTTTAGTTCTCGTTTAGTCCTGGTTTAGTCCTGTTTTAGTCCTGGTTTAGTCCTGGTTTAGACCTAGTTTAGTCCTGGTTTAGTCCTGCTTTAGTCCTGGTTTAGATCTAGTTTAGTTCTGGTTTAGTTCTCGTTTAGTCCTGGTTTAGTCCTGGTTTAGTCCTGGTTTAGTCCTGGTTTAGTCCTGGTTTAGTCCTGGTTTAGTCCTGGTTTAGTCCTGGTTTAGACCTAGTTTAGACCTAGTTTAGTCCTGGTTTAGTTCTGGTTTAGTCCTGGTTTAGTCCTGGTTTAGATCTAGTTTAGTTCTGTTTAGTCCTGGTTTAGTCCTGGTTTAGTCCTGGTTTAGACCTAGTTTAGTCCTGGTTTAGTCCTGGTTTAGTCCTGGTTTAGAACTAGTTTAGTTCTGGTTTAGTCCTGGTTTAGTCCTAGTTTAGTTCTGGTTTAGTTCTCGTTTAGTCCTGGTTTAGTCCTGGTTTAGTCCTGGTTTAGTCCTGGTTTAGTTTAGTCCTAGTCCTGGTTTAGTTTTTAGTTCTGGTTTAGTCCTGGTTTAGTCCTGGTTTAGACCTAGTTTAGTCCTGGTTTAGACCTAGTTTAGTTCTGGTTTAGTCCTGGTTTAGTCCTGGTTTAGACCTAGTTTAGTCCTGGTTTAGTTCTGGTTTAGTCCTGGTTTAGTCCTGGTTTAGACCTAGTTTAGTTCTGGTTTAGTCCTGGTTTAGTCCTGGTTTAGTCCTGGTTTAGTCCTGGTTTAGTTCTGGTTTTATAGCTCAAAAAAACCCCAGAAAAACAGCCATTCTGACTGTGAGCAGGGTCGCCTCTCCACAGATCTGACCTGTAACTCTTTCTGGTTTGGTCTCCGTGGAGATAGAAAGGTTTAATGCCACACTGCGAAACTTTCCAGGCCCGTGGAGATGTCGTTCTTTGCTAAAACTTGGTATTGGTTGATGTAAATTGGTCTGTTACGGTCAAGACAAACTGAAATCTTTATGGAGATAACCAGGCCAAGTTCCAGGTCAGATCTGCGGAGAGGCGAGCCGAGTCAGTGAGAACACACGACCTCCAGCATAACACACGTAATGGAGTAAATACAGTCTATCTCCAATTATAATTTAATGAAAAAGATCAATATTTTTGTTTGTTACGTCCAATCCATCCAGTATATAAACTCATGACTAGACTGTAGTGTATGTGTGTATGTTTAATGCTGTACTGTGGAACATTCAGAGCAAAGCAGCGTTTGGCAGAGCGCGTCTGTAACTTAAAATAATGTCAGGAGTGTAAATAAATAAAGTGAGTGTTGTTTTTTTTTGTTGCAGTTGGATCAGGAGCAGAGCAGAAGTCCACACAGGCTCAAGACTCCAAACATAAAGATGATTCTGGTGTTTTCAAAAGACCCGACAGACGTGAGTGTTTCTGATTGTCCAAAATTGTCCAGTTTGTGTATTTTGTGATTTCAATTTCTGTGTTTTTTCACCATCACATTAATTAAACGATCTATAATCAAAATACTCACATCTCTGGTCCTTCGGTAGATTTTTTGTCCCATTGACTCCCACTCAAAATGGCTTTGTTTACTGCCATAACTTTGCCAGGATATGTTTACTTGTTGATTTATTTTTCATTCTTTGGTGTTGAAAATTTTTAGTTTTTGTGCCGTTCTGATTTTCTGATATTTTTTTTCTTTTTTTTAACTGTGTGTCATTTCAAGTTTTTAAACCAAAATACCAAATATATCTTCGATTTTTGCAATTTATATGAATTTTAAACTAAATTGTACTTAAAAATGTATGGTATATTTATACATGAGTATTTATAGAGAGATAAGAGTTGTAGAAATGTAAATTTTCCCTTTTCAAATGTTTTGACAAGATCTTAGTGTGAATTATTACAGTCAGAATATAAATTACGTTAGATCAAATATGATTAATTTCCTTTAAACACAAATAACATAAAGTAAAAAAAAAAAAGATCCAAATGTGCTACAGAACACTTGGACTTAGACTTAGATTCATTTATTTATATTTTTTGTTTTTATTTTCTTTAGCGTCACAAAATAAATCCAGCAGAGCCATCACGACGTCTCCTCCTCCTCAAAGGTCAGTGAACGCACCACTTTTTATCTTATAATACCATAAAATACACAAATAAAATATATCATTATGCAATATCTAGGCCTTTTTTTGTTAAGTCGACCAAAATTTGTTAGTTGAGTAAACATTTCATTTACGATTTTTATGGGACAAAGCAGAGAAATGAGTGAGCTGAACATTTGTTTTTTGTTTTAATTTGTAAAAATGCAGATTAAATCATATAAATACATTGTTTTCTTGTACTTTTTTCTGCATAAATACTAGTAGTAGTTTTTGTGTGAGCTCCCCCTGCAGGTGAAACAGAGATACAGAAGAGTTTTTAGAGCTTTTTAGTCTTTTTAGTCGATCTGCAGAACATGTCCAACGAGAATTTTAGACTTTTAGACCAATTTTATTGATCCACAAGTGAATTTATTTGGACAGAGCAGCTCACACATCACAATATAATATAATAACAAAGAGAAAAAATGTGTTTAGTCGAGCACAGGCCCAGTATTATGTGTAATTCATTGTGTTTTAACAGGTCTGCGGTCGGCTCCAGCGTCACAAACACAAAATCTGTGGAGGCCAAAGAAGCAGCTGGAGCTCCGGTGAGTTTTAAATGTGATTTTTAAAAATACTTTCACTTTTTACTCTTTAAGTACTTTTTTAAACAGGTACTTTAATACTTTAAATTGAGTATTTTTTGCTCCGGTATCTGTACTTTTACTTAAGCGGCAACACAATAATGGGAAAGTAAAAAAAGCCTAAATATATAAAGTTACCGTATTTTTCGGACTATTAGGAGCACTTAAAATCATTTAATTTAGTCAAGAATCGACAATGCGGCTCATGTATTAATTCTGGTTGTGTTTACTGACCTCGGACCAATTTGATGTGATACACGACGCTCAAAAATCTGTCAAAATGTTTTAGTACGGTTTTAGTAAACTATGAAGTCGCTCTGTTTGATGGATTGTCGGAGTATTATGGCGACTGGAGTCAGGAGCCTTGCGGAGTAAAGGATGAAGTCTTGTACTATGTCGGCGTTTATGACATCAATGAAATGCTACAGAGAACATTTGTCCGTTCATATAAACGTTCGATCTGCAGACATACTGTGTAAGTTTCACATGAACCATCTCCAACACGACATACACAGAACAGACTCACCATCAGCAGAACATCCCTCTGTCACAGAAAGAACACTCATATTCCATTGAGTCACTGTGTCCTTTAGTCTGACAGAAACTGAACAGCATCAGCGACACAAGGAGCAGCTGTTTCAATCAGCGCTTATAGTTTATGCAAATGAACCATGTGGTTTTAAGTTTTGTTTCTGTAAAACCTAAACAAATGTGCACAAAGCTGCATTAAACACATTATTACTCAGTGTATATTTGAGTCGTCCTCGTAGGAAATAAAAAAAAAACTAAATTAAATTATGGTCCGTCCATATGAAATCAGCCGCCCTCCACTATGATCCGTCTCAGATTTGGCTGAAAAATTATGAAAAAATGTAAAATTTTAGCTCAATCCCTTTAGTCGTTCCTGAGTTATGGTCCGTTGAAATTTTGTGGTCATACTCACTTTTTCAGAAACCTTAATTTATAAACATGTTTGAGAGACCATAACTTCATAAAAACCAGAGCTAGGAAGCTGAAGTTAAATATTCCCCAAGTTTCTTCCATTATAACAAGCAATTAGTGTCTATTAAGTCTATTAAAGGTAATTGAACCTTTCTATCAGGTGGAAAAATCCCTAAACTCCTCCAAAAATGACCCGTGAGAGCTCATTTTAAAAAAATTCCGTTTGAAATTATGTTAATAGTAGATGTTTTTATTAATTTAATCAGAATATGCCAAAGTTTCTCTGGTAAAAATTTTATCAACATCTAACTGTGTCCACATGGGGAACAGAGGCTCTAAAGAAGTGACCAAAAAGATCATATCTGTTCTGTGACCAGATTTGTGACTCTACACCATCCACATGAAAACTCAGAAAAGTGTGAGATTTGTGTCAGAAATGTTCATTCTCTCAAATATTCAGGTTCAACAGTTAGTTTGTAAATATCTACTTGGAGTAAATAAATCTTGGACCTCAAAAATTGAAAAAAAAATAAAATTGAGCGACAACCAAATGTGAGATTTTGGGGGCCCACAACGCCCCCCTTAATAAAAATACCCAATATTTAACAGCAGATTTAGAATTTGTGACCCAAAATTTACAGTAATACAATTTTCAGCTTCCTAGCTCTATGTTTTACGAAGTTATGGTCTCTCAAAAACACTTATAAATTAAGGTGTCAGAAAAAGTGAGCATGACCCCAACATTTCAGGGAATTTCAAGGGATTGAGCTAAAAATTTAGATTCATTCATTTGAAAATTTTAGAAATTTTAGGGGATTCCTTGAAAACGGCTGATTTCATATGGACGGACTCAATATCTACATTCACATTCATAACACACATTCACCAAGAATTACGCCACGATCTGCCGATGAATCTTGGACGTCTGGGCTAAAGGATCAGTCTCAAGTGTCGTCCGTTTGTTTCGCTTAATGCGCCTTGTAATCCGATGTGTTTTGCGTACGAAAATAGACGAGAGAATTCAACGTTATTGATATTGCGCCTTTACATTCCGATGCGCCTTATAGTCTGAAAAATACGGTATTTAGATTTGAATGCTAAATGTTAAGAGGTTTGACCACAGAATGAGTCCGGTGATGGTTTATGGACTGAAAAACTGAAGAGGAGAAGTCTGGAATTTTGTCTATGATGCAACAATTCAGGCAAAATACAGTCGGAGCATTTTTAGCGCTCAGGGAAAACGAGTTTAGATTACTAGATTTGTTTTAATGTTTAAATGTTGTTGTTTTTTGTTTGTTTTTTTTCAGGTGGAGCGAGAGAAAGTGCAGGTGACCAAACCTCCACGACAGCCTCCAGAAGTCAAACCCAAACCCCCCAAAAGTGCAGCAGCTCTGACGGGGAACGCAAGCTTCAACCACTGCCCCAAAACCACCGCCACTACTACTACTACAAATACTGCAACAAGTACTTCAAATACTGCTACAAGTACTTCAAATACTCCTACTGCGACACCAGACAGCAGCAAGGAGGAGAACAACAACACGGCAGAGGTGAGAAATAACAAAACTCTTAGAAATTACTGTAAAAAGTCAAGACAATTTAATTTAATAAATGTAAGATACTGTAGCAGAGGTGAGGCTTACGAGTCGTGACTTGGACTCGAGTCACTATTTTTAGGACTTGAGACTTGACTGGATAAAATTAAAAGACTCGATTTGGACTTGAAGGTCAATTTGAGACTCGGACTTGAGACTTGTGACTTGAGAAGAGTTGAACAAACTGAAACATGTCCCTCTCACTTAGACTTAGACTTAGAGACTTAAACTTAGAAACTTAGACTTAGACTTAGAGACTTAAACTTAAAACTTAGAAACTTAGACTTAGGCTTAGAGACTTAAACTTAGAAACTTAGACTTACAGACTTAGAGACTTAAACTTAGAAACTTAGACTTAGGCTTAGAGACTTAAACTTAGAAACTTAGACTTAGGCTTAGAGACTTAAACTTAGAAACTTAGACTTAGACTTAGAGACTTTACCTTAGAAACTTAAACTTAGAAATTTAGACTTAGACTTAGAGACTTAAACTTAAAAACTTAGACTCAGAGACTTAGACTTAGAGACTTAGACTTAGAGACTTAGACTTAGAGACTTAGACTTAGAGACTTAGACTTAGAGACTTAGAAACTTAGACTTAGTGACTTAGACTTAGAGACTTAGACTTAGAGACTTAAACTTAGACTTAGTGACTTAGACTTAGATTTAGAGACTTAGACTTAGTGACTTAGATTTAGAGACTTAGACTTAGTGATTTAGACTTAGAGACTTAGACTTAGAGACTTAGACTTAGACTTAGAGACTTAAACTTAGAAACTTAGACTTAGACTTAGAGACTTAAACTTAAAAACTTAGACTTAGGCTTAGAGACTTAACCTTAGAAACTTAGACTCAGAGACTTAGACTTACAGACTTAGACTTAGAGACTTAGAGACTTAGAGACTTAGACTTAGACTTAGTGATTTAGACTTAGACTTAGAGACTTAGATTTAGTGACTTAGACTTAGAGACTTAGACTTAGACTTAGACTGATTTAGACTTAGACTTAGAGACTTAGACTTAGTGATTTAGACTTAGAGACTTAGACTTAGACTTAGTGACTTAGACTTAGAGACTTAGACTTAGAGACTTAAACTTAGAAACTAAGACTTAGACACTTACACAGACACACACGGTGAATAAAAAACCTGCTCAACCCTTCGGGGACCAGGTAATAATGATAATGAAGGCACAAAGTTTATGGTTTATAATTGTACAAAATAAACAAAACTGAGAATGAAAAATGTAAGGATATTTTTTTCTTGGTTT